AAGTCTCCATACTGTATGAATTGGTAAACAATGCAAACATTTTTTGCGCCAAGGATAAATCCTTACATAAATGAAGAACCAGAGCTAAATTACGTTGTCCATTTCACAAAGTTATAATGTTTTCAATCTAAATTTCTATAGACTGGACTTTTATTTTCCATTTTGATTCAATCACTTTGCAAGGTACTGTTCATTTAGGTGCTGTTTCGTGCGTGTGAGCTTGTAATTGTGAACAAAACTGACTGTAACTGGCAACATGTGTTTCTAGACTTCTTGGTCTGTATATGATCTGATACTCTAACAATGACAATATGATTGAGAGTATGTGAAAATACACACTGTAACACTGAAATGAATTTCACTGTAGCGCTTCTCACTTTGTTTCCACATCCTAACTTTTTAGCCCCAAAAATGTTGATGAACTGATGATGAACTGTAAGCCATGAGTATCCGAATGTCACACATTGAGGGATGAATGACCACCTACAGTAACTGCTAATGTTTGATTTCCTCGTGTGACGTGAGCCTGCACAGGTTGTCACTCAGAACAAAATGGTTATTTATGGTTGCACTGTACTGGTATCTAACCTGACTAACATTGTTTTTGGTTTTAATGGGTATTAAGTGTTTTTTACATTTTTAGCACGCCCAGTTAAGCACATTGAGCTACTGTGGCCCAAGCATTACTGAAGTAATTCTAATGCAGGGCCATGTTTCTATTCAAGAAAGGCATAATTTCTGCCTTTCATAGCTGACAAAGTTCAATATTTGCCAATATTAAAAAAACAAAACAAAAACCTACTTGTGGAACTGGATATTATTTCGAATGATTTGTCGGAAGTGTTAAGTTTCCATATGAGTATCTGTTCACACCGAGCTTACTTTTTAGCAACTTTATCTTCAACTTCCCCCCCAAAAAGAAAAAGCTGTCATTGTTTTTGAAATTGTCTCAGCACAAACAGTAGTGTGAGAACGATTTAGTCTGAAATTGGGCAAATTTTAACTTCCGCTTTATAAGATCTGACACTTTTCAGTTCTCTGTGCTTGAGAAATATTTGGGGTGGAGGCTCAGTGTGAAGAGTTCCCATCTTGGGGGTTTTACATAGCACCACCTGTGTTTCAGCTTTACGCACAAAATGTACAATTTTACAAAATGCATGTTTGTCAGCCTGCAGATCGGGGTTTGTGTCAGGACTTGTTTTCACCTGCTGTTTGTTTTGTCTTTGAAATTTGGCTTTCATTCACTGGTTTAGACATAGCCACTAAAGACTGCTCGATAGGATTTAGCCACTAAAAACTATTTTGTTATGTTTGGTTATTTTTTCAGTTAGCTTTAGAAAAAAGATTGTGGTTTCTGTTAAAACGCACCCTTCACATGTTGGAAGTGACTGGTCAGTGGCCCTGATAACATAAAGCCATGCATCAGACACCAAAGGACACCTTACCTGTAAATAAGAGGACACCAGCATAATTTAAACCCTGGGAATCAGAACAGGAATCGATAACCTCTGTAATAGAACAGTCATATACCAGATGACATACGTCAGACATATGAATTTCCCTTTTGGATAAACTTATTCTTATATATGAGGGTAATATAAGAAATCTAAGATCCTTTTTTTTTTACCATTTAACTAAATTGAGGTTTTTTTTGTTCATTTAAGATAGTTTAATATTTGATGTGATTTTACCTTCTTTGTAATTATGGCCATTATATTTTTTTCTTTCTTTTTATTTTGATTCAAAAGGTTGAGACAGGATCAACTGGTCTGTTATGGATGTATTTTGTGATTCTACCAGAAGGTGGCGCCAAAGTCACGTGTTTTAAATGTACTTACGCGACCTTGGTCATGCAAGAAACGTCTTACTTCTTGTGGGTTTTAAGTTTTGGGGATGTTTAAAAGAACCAGTGGAAGAGTAATCTCTGTCACTGGTAAAATAACCCCTGAGTAAAGCTTCTGGGTCAACCCTAACACATTTTTGCCTCCCCTTTCTTCTCTAATGTCAGTAAATTGACTCATTTCCCCTCTAAGAGTCATTTAAGGAAGTTACTTGCTCTGATTTTCTTGGGTTCTTTCTTTCCACTTATGAAATGTGTCTGACATCCTGATAACCACGCAGTGGTAAATTAGAGCAAAACAGAAGGAGAATGCATGTGTCGAAGAATATTTTTCTCATCGCTATTTGAAGTACCCTCTCTACTGTGATTTAACATCTCAGCTGTGACACAGTCCAGTGCATACAGTTCATTAATTATTTTCTTATGTAGAAGTCCGGACGTTCACACATTTTTATGCAAGCTGTCGACTCTAATGTTGCTTTTGCCAATGCTGCTTGTTAATTTATGATTCATGCCACTGTAAATAAATTATTTTTACTGAACTGAGCTGTGTCTTTGTTTCAATTTCATCCATAAAGTGACTTGTGCGGTCCCAGGGAATCCCAGTCTTTATATACTTTATATTTAACTTTAACACCACAACAAAACGTTAATAAATGTAAGTTATGTGGAAAAAATGTGCTTTAAAATGTGGGTGGTGCGTAGCCTCTGCATGATTGATGGATACCCGAAGTGCCTTGAAATAGTGCTGACTTATGATCCCTTTCCATGGCCCAAAGACCTTTCTCCTCACCTGTTAATATCCTGGGAAAATTCCCCTTCCCCCGAGCCCCGCACACCCCACTAATCAATGATCAGACACTGTTAAAATTCCACTGACATTTACTTTTAAAGTGTCAGTTTTTAGTTTCAGTTTGCAGTTTGTTTATTCTCGTATATCTGACATGCTGAGGGTAACACAGGAAATAGTTTGGCCGTGCAACTGTGTGACACATCCGAGAATCATGTGGCGTCCAGAGTGGTTCCCTATTTAAGTTCGGACAAGTGAGGAACAGCAAAAATGTCACAACGGCACACACACCCTGCCTTCGTAAGGCTCTTTTGTTTTCTGCACAGGGAAACTTGGAACTGGTCCAGAGACCGGTGCACTCTGTGTGGCCCTTCAAATCTAATCAGGCAGCAGCAGGCACTGCCTTCTGTCCACCAGTATAGATATGAAAACTGCTCCAGCATACCTTCAGATAAATGTTTTTGTCATGAATCTAATATTATGAAATGTGGCTGGCAACAAGTGTGAGAAGTCACGTGGGGCTTGAGTAGATAAAGCCTATAGCATACAGAGGATTACTCAAGGTCATGGGATTCGTGAAAGGTCACCAATTCTATCTGCAGCGTTTTTATGATTGGATTAGAAATATTTTTGTTATTTCCAAATGTCTGAAATTCAAAATGATGATGTAGGGAATGATCCTTAAAAAAACACGGCTCCTATAGGATGACATGAGAATATTAAGCAACGACAGGATTTGTAACTGTTTATTCTCTGGTGCTGCCGTTAGATATTTTCTCTTCTAATAATCTAATCTGCTGGTGTTACGTTATGTAAAATGTCCACGCTTTTGTAATACTCCACGTTTTTAGTGTTTGGATTACAAAGGAATTTATGAATTATTGCTCAAAGTCTATTATTTCCTGAATGAAGGCGCATATTCCTGGCTATAATTGGTTGGAATTTTCCATGGGACGTGATCTGGGTTCCTATTGGTGGACCAAGCTGTCAGTCAGACAGACTGGCTTTGGCTTTGGTTTCTAAGAGCGGCTCGCGAGCGCCAAAGAAGGGAGGAAAAAAGCGACGATGCATCACTCTGCTGTTTCTCCCAGACAGTAAAGTGGAAATGAGCTTTTAAGAGCAGAATTTAAGTTGAATAATTTATGTTGGGTTGTTACAGCGTCCCAGTTAATGCCACAAAAAAAAAAAAAAAGCATTTAGCATTTAGTTTTTATTTTTTAAAAAGGGGTTACTCGTTGTCTAAGGAGCTTGGAAAGAAAAGCGTCTGGATTTCTTTAAGTTGCTTGAGAATCCTGGAAATAAGTTTGGAGAAATGAGGAACACTGGGTTACTCGTTATTTATTTAAAAGTTGTAATATTAAGACAAGTCAGTCAATGAAATAATAATGTTTGGTTGGGTGTGTCCTGATGCTACAACAAACAAACACACTATATCTGAGGTTTTTCATGAAGCATATTTGTTGTTGAATTTCAGTGAAAGGGTCGAGCAATTAATGGCTTCATGGCAATTTTCACTCTTTTTAAGGCCTCCAACAGCCTGACGTGGGCTCAACCCAACAACAGAGGAATGGAAAAAAACATTCCCTGGTCTGATGTATCAGGATTTCTGCTTTTGCTTGGTACAGCACAATTTGACTTCCACAACATGAAAGCATGGATTATTTCTGCCTTGTATTCTTGTATTAATGGTGGTGTTGTAATGATATGTTGGGGGGGGGGCACACTTTTGGCCCCTTAGTATCAACTGAGCATTGTGTAAATGACACAACCTACTAGAATATTGTTGGTGATCATGTCCAACTCACAGTGTACCCATGACCAGATTCAATAGAGCGCCTTTGGGATGTGTTGGAACGGAGATAAGCATTGTTTGGGTGTCTATAAATCAGCAGCAACTGTGTGATGCTATCGTGTCAATTTGAACCAAAAGGATTGTGTCCAGCATCTTTTTTAGCATCTTCTATGCATGAAGAATTAGGAGAATCATAAAGACAGACTCACTGGCCACTCTTTTAGGTACAAGCTGTAAACATTATATAAACTGCAGATCAGCGAAAGGCACAAAACCTTCAAATTTCTGTAACAAAGTAATAATTTGTCATAATGATTTAGATGTAGAAAAACTTAACTTCCTGCGCATTTTCACTGTGACTCACCACACAGGAAGGCTGGATGGATTTCAGTGAAAGGGCTGAGCAATTAATGGCTTCAGGGCAGTTTCGCTCTTTGAAAGGCCAAATGGCCTCGTTTTGACCCCAGAAGTTGACACTTGACCCCACTGCGCTACCGAAACCGCCATGCAGTGACTCACCTCACTAAATGTAGGACCTCTGCAGAGGGGGTGTGTATGATGAGAAAGAGGGCGGTAACCACTGCAGTCCTCCAGTAGTTCCCCTGTCACGGTTATTGACAGTATTACTGGTCGCTGCTTGTAGAAGAGTAAATCTAACATTTTTATTTAACAGGTGACGGGGGCCAAGGAGACAGAGATGGCTGGCGCATCGGCACCAAAGCGACAGGACACCCGGAAATTCTTTGAGAATCTATCCGGCGCTGGTAAATCCATCGCAGTGTTGACCAGCGGCGGAGATGCCCAAGGTAACTTAGTGAGGTTCCATTATCGGACGGCGCTCCTGCCCTAATGAAAATAGATAATTTCGCGTAAAAGTGCTGCCGAGAAAGCACCAGGAGAATAAACTCTTCGCTTAAAATATGCTATCAGACGTGTTTACTGAGGCTGACGTGGTAGTGGCACTCACTGCCAGAGTTAGGCTACTTTAAGTATAAGCGGTTCTTCCCCTAGTCTGGTTGTAGGGTTAATTTTACTCCCTACCTCTTTGTGGAGATTTGGAGAAATATGTATAGAGGCCTGTCCGACAATGGATGTATCCCCTCCAAGCTTGTCAAAAAGCGTGGTGGTCAATCAAGGTGCATAATTACATGAAAAAATAAATAATGCATTTTATTTGCCTTGTATATATTTATTTTTTTCTTGATACCCATTATTTACAAGGTATTAAGCAAATCACAGCGACTATTACGCAACAGCTGCCCTGAAACCCTTGTCTTACACATTTTTCCATGGATGCTGCAGTAGACTATTTATAACCGCTTGAGGAGGTATGAAATAGTAGTAGTAATCACGACCTGCTGGAAGAAGATATGCAGCAGGGATGAGGGGCCAGTTTGGAAAGCTGCAACGAAATCAACAAGTGTTCGCGGTAATTAAATAATTGAATCCTCTTACGTGGGGAGTCGCTCTCCTTATCATGCATTCTGCACCACTGCAGAATCTATATGGGCTGTGTTCCTGTATTGATTGCCTGTGTCCTGCGTCCCTGTGCGCGTCCAATGGCATACGTATGATTTAAACAGCAGTCCAAAGCTGACAGTGCTATGCACTGTGGTGTGCACTCAGTCAGGTTTCGCCACTGCTTTTGGTGGAAAAGCATGAAGTCCACAGCTCGTGATGGAAATTCTTATTCTTATTCTTATTATTGTTATTATTAAAATCCCTATAATTTATCGGTTCAGGCAAAAGTTGACAACGCCATTAAATGTCATCTTATTTCTTTATATTAACTATGATTTTTGCAACTTCCCCTCATTTTAAAAAAGGGTCATGTTTCAGCAGAAATACACGTATTGCGTCACTGAAGATGAGTCGTGAGGAGGACCACCGTGAAGAAGCCAGACTAAATTACTCGTCTTCCGGCGTAACCTTTCACAGTAAAGGGTTTCCCCTCCCCTTTCCGCTGCAGGGCCTTAATTTTGAAAGAGACCTGCAGTGACTTCCTTTGTCCTTGAGTCACTGTAGTCATCCGGAAGTCACGAAGGGTTGAGTCGCCTACGTGAGGACGTGCTGGTGTGCTGTGATGTGCAATGTGCAAAGGAAACGTAAATAAGTTACTGTTACTGTGTGCGGATGTCATTTTATCCGTAAAATTAGGTTCTATGACGACAGCCTAATATAAGTGGAACATTTTTTAAAAAAAAAAGGTGAAACAGTGATTTTGGTATTTTTATGTGTCTGACAGCGTCACCATTCATTCATGTGATGTTCCAGAAACAGCACTAGAGTGTATTTATTGGACTTCTATATATCGATATTGGAGTGTAGTATCGGCTCTATGCGTGCAGTGCAGCAGCAGAGCCATTGTTGCCTTTGAGCCAGGCTGTTACATAACACACGGTGCCTATAGGCTCCTCTATGAGTGGATGAATATTTCGTTTCTCAGTTGTCTCTGCAGCAGAAGGCAGCACATGAGCACCTGTGTAGAATGTAATAGAGCCAGCCTCTGTAGGAACTATGTGTAGGAGCGCATACTCCTGGCAGCAGCTGAGATTTAATTATAACTACACTTGGACATTGTTCCCGGGGTGTGAAAATGATGCGCACACAGTCCCACTCACCAGGGTCAAACGATAGCAGGACTAGCTTTTGAATGCCTTTCCTGGAGAATCTCTCTGCAGTGGAAGCCTTTAACAGCCTCGAGTGTCTTTAAGGAGGTTTTTTCCCCGCTTGCCATTGTCACCAAGAATAATTAGGTTTGTTGTGATATAATAATCACATGTGGACAAAGTTTCTGATGTCTATGAGCACTGGTTCCATTTAACATTTCTTCTGAATGTGTATATTTTTACTACCCAGACATTAAAAATTAAAAAATACAAAACAAATACAAACCAAAGAAATGAACTGTAACTGCATGGTACTGTTATAATGTAAGACAGTGTAATGCTAAAGTTTTAAGAATCATTAAAGAGGATCTTTATGCTTTTCCTTATTTCCAGTCAAACCTTCTGTGTTTCAGACAGTGGATGAACTGAGGATCTTCACCAAGGTTCAGATTAAGCCATATAAAGAATATGTAAACTGTAATTGAAGCAAAGCGTTTCTAATAGAGACTAAGAAAAAAAACCACAGAGCTAGAAATATGGCTGATAGGCCTCTTTTAGTGTTACTTAATAAAAATTCCCTCTTTCTTAAAAGCAGAAACAATCGGTAGTTTTGTGAAATATTTCAGGCTATTTTTCAGACTTTCATTTAGCAAACTTTACAGTTTTCTGAACCCACAGGAACATCGGTGCTTCATGTGCAATGACAAATTTTTGCCAAGGCAGATTTCCCGACCGCTGCGGAGAATACATGCCCAGACTGAGCTGGAGATGTTTAGTCATTGCAGCAGTCTGGGAGGAAATACTAACAGCATTTCATGATTTGTGATTTAATCCAAGAGCTCAGCTGGGACACGACACACACACTCACACACACATACATGAGATGATAAATGAGATGTACTCACGGTCGCTGATCGCTCTTATCTGTCTGTGAAATCCTTATTATTTTTTTCTTTCTAATTTTGTAAAACTCAATTATAGTATCACACAATTCAGCTCAATTTTACTCATTTGCCAGGTCCCCTCTGACCAATCAGCACTTTGCAGGTCTTTTAGCAACACTAGCTCCAACACAAAAAGAAACACAGTATGGAGGCCTGGATGTGGTTTCAGCCTGTTCAGTGTTTGCTAACGAGTGCTGACAGCACGGTGACTCCCCCACCCAACCCCCACCCCTTAGTGCATTTGTCTTAGATGTCACCTGCCTTATAATGCCGTCGCTACTTCCTCTAGGTCAGCAGGAGTAGTTTTGGTAAAGGGCAAGATAATTAATTATTTTACATAAAAGAGGTAGTTAATGATCATAAATAAGAGAAGTGAGGAAAACAAAAACAAAGATTAGAAAAGAGATATTTTTAGTCTCTTATCAGAAAATTGCAGGCAGCTATTGATTTATTGAGTCATCCACTGACAGAAAAGTGAGTTTATGAATATTTGGATCATAAGAAACCCTTGAAAACCCCTCATTAATACAAACAGTCCTTGTCTGAATTCCTGCATATGATAGTTTTGAGATACAGTATTTTTATACATTATTAATACGTTTATTTTTATTAGTTTGCTTTGTTTACCAAATTATATTTGAACATTCATCAAACACAAAATGATGTGACTTGAGAGATCGATATTAGCCACTGACACTGACACTGTTATCTTATTTGCTAATAGCCTGATATCAGTCAACAAGGCTGATGTCAGCCTGTTCATCAGTGCTTCTCTATCTAAAGCTGATTGCCCATGCAGTGGCTGCCACTTAAACCATTATTTCTGTCTGTTGCAATCATTGCAAGGTAAACAAAAAACTTTGTTTATAGTTATCTGCAAAAAATGTATGATTGCACACATTTGACTGATTGCAATGCCTTTCCAGAAGAGTTCATGTTCAACTTTGTTTCCCCCAGCTAAGCCTTTGTTGTTTCGCTCTGGCCCTTTGCCATGGCCCCGTTGGCTCTGCCAAGCTTAGTGAATTGAGCTCTTGTAGTAATGCCAAAATCGTGACATAGTCATCCAAGGAGTAGACCCATCCCATACGCATTCTGCAGACAAGGGCCAGTAAAAGGGATGGGTTGTTTACTCCATGTGGTGTGGGAAGAAATTTGGCGAGGTGGTTAAGTTAGCAGAGCGTGCTAGCTTGTGCTTGCTGGGCTAAATTCTGGGATGCATGCAATGCCTCACCAAACTGGGCTCACTGAGATCTAACATGCTCGTCATTCCAATGCTTTTCCATAAATGGCTAATTAATTCTTTATCCCTATTTTGAATTTTTAAAGTGACCTTTTCTTTTTTACCAGTCATCTATGTTCTCTGTGCTCTTTATTAATTGCTATGCACTGACCCTATTAGATTGATTGATTAGCTGATGGAAAGAAGAAATAATCAATAGCAATTACGATAATGATTCAGCCACTTCACGTGTTAATGGCATAAAAAGCCAAGAGTCAGCTGATTCAGCGTCTTGTTGATTGGATGTCTTTTTCAGAATAACTTAAAACTGTTTATTATTAAGATAAGATAAGATAATTGTAAATTACCCATTTCTGAGACAAATAAAGTCTATCTTAGCTTATCTTACCTTTAATTTGGTAAATAATCAGTTCACTGATAAGTCAAAATTCAAAGATGAAACAGTGGAAGATGGATTTGTTATTTTCAGCCCAGGCTGATACGTAGAGCTTGTTTCTTTTTTTCAGGTTCTCTTATTACACCTAGCGTTAGGATCATTAAAGTTTTATTACAGCTCTTATTCTGTATGCAGGTTGCGACACAGAATCAAAGTAACATCAATACCACCTTCATTCCTTCTCTCAGCGTTTTTACACATCAGATATTTCTCGTCATCGTGCTTTTATGGGAGTCTTCGGTGATGTAAAACTGCACCTTCACTGTCATACCAGACTTAGCTCAAGGTTTATGTTTTGTTCTGTCTCTAATTTCACTAAGTGCTCTTTCAGACCCTTCTATGTTTTGACACAAAATCCTCAGAGGGATTCTCACTTGCAGTCTCCTCTCCCTGTCTCCCTGTTTTTTCGATCGCGTTTACCGCTCCTGTTATCTGCTGGTCTGTCTAGCTTTCTGCCACGCCCTGTTTGTGCTGCTGCTTATACAATCACATTTATGGAAACATCGTTTATTTAATTCACTGACAGATCTAATTTCTTAAATGTCAAAAGCACCTTAGAATAAGACCGACATTAACTACTTTCACCTCCAGTTTCTGTGTCTCCCACATCCTCTGAAAAGGTCAAACTGCTGCTAGTCGCTGCGCTGCAGTTTTAATAAACATGGCGGTTCTTCATTAGCTGACACCAAAAATATCTTTAAGACCAATTTGTCAGCATGAAAAAGAACCTGGGTAGGCTCGCAGTTTACCGCAGACGGACATGGTTAATTTCCCAACCTGTCAAACATGATATGTGAGAAACACTGTTTGTTTCTGTATCAACCCAAAACTCTTTTTTTCTCTATTTCCAGGTATGAATGCAGCTGTCCGGGCTGCCGTGCGGATGGGCATCTATGTGGGAGCAAAGGTCTACTTCATCCATGAGGTGAGGCATGACTCAGGCTTTAGACGTAGCCTCAGGAGAGTCTGCAGTGTCTGTCACATCACACGGTGAACTAAATTAGAACTGACGAGTCTTTTTTATCGAGCTGTGATTGTCTGTGATACAGCCAGCAGGACTCAAGACTGCATGTTGCTCTGCTTTTATAACTGAATTTGACCTTAAGGAGTCATTCAGGTGGCTGCAAAGTCTCAAAACTGAAAATGTGAATTTCATTGTTTTATTTTTCTATTGGGGTTAAATGCATCGTATCTACAGGGTTGCATAGATGTAATCTTTGGTGTAAATTCACCACATTGTGTCAAATCAGGTTTATGAAGAGAAACACAAACATGCCACAGACAAGTCATTGTGCTGTTACTGCCTGTTGTTGCAAAACAAATTATATTTTGTTCACTCAAATTCACCCAAGTGTAGCTGCAAAAACCTCTGTACACATAAAAATCTAAAACTGCACAGTGTTGGCAGCCCACCACTTCATTTTTGTCTCCTTAAGCTGTTCTGTGAAAGCTGTTCTGTTCCAACAGATTTAAGCATTTCTCACCTCACTTCATGCTGTTTAGGTGCTATTTTGAAAAGATTACCTTAAATCAGCCACACTGACTACAGTCATTGTTTATGGCTCTGGTCGTTAAGCCTTTGTTTTTCAGTCATTAAGATCTCCCCATTAATCCCTTTACAGGTAGTGACCTTGTTTTTGTCTTTTTGGCCTCCACACTTGTCACACTAAAATGAAAGTGGTGCCCTTGGAGTGTCTGTGTGTGAACATTTGATTGAAGTGGAGTGTATTGACACTTAAAACTGTGTCCACATGGAAATTTGAACCCACTATGGGCTCGTTTTGTGTTTTTAACCTACTGGAAGCAAGGGCATGGATTTGGATACAGTATGTACTCTGACCAGCTCCAACATAAAACCACTGGTATGTAACCTGGATCATAAATTTTCTACTGGAAAACCTTGAGCTCTGGCATTCATGTGAATTTTACTTTGACAAGTGCCACCTACTGTTTGGGCTCTATCACAGATCACACCTACTGTAACAGTATTTGAACTTAAACGTGCTGCCGATGGAAATAATGATTTGATAGTGATAGTAACTGTAGTAACTCCTTCTTTCCTGAGTCTCTCAAAGTCATCGATATTGAATGCCTGAGGATGTACAGTATGTGCAATTTTAACTGGACATGATGCCATGAACGACGGGGGCAGACAGACGTGATCTGGTCTCAGTGTAGATATAATTGGATTACAAAGGGCAGGCTTCATCCTTCACTTGCCGCACTGTCGTGTCCCCATCAGCTTCAAATAACCACTGGGCTGTGAGTAATAACAGCTGAGTGCCACAGTGCTTTTATTTTGGTTTGGGACCATCGCCTCGCAGTTTTAATCCCTGAACACAACACAGCAGTTCCCTAAAAAAGCTCAACCTGACCCACAGGGTTGTCTTCAAGTTCCTATTGAGTTTTGGTTCAATTTAAAAATATCGAGCTCTGTTCTTCATTTGTCAGTTAAAAAATAAAACTTTTTTCAGTTTTTGCCAAGTTATCAACAATCCGGTGAATGTCTGTCACACTGATTGCTCTTCTCAGGGTTACCAGGGGATGGTGGACGGTGGAGACAACATCAAAGAGGCGAAGTGGGAAAGCGTCTCCAGCATGCTGCAAGTGGTGAGCAGATCAGCGTTCAGCTCACACACACCGCACATTTCTTCTTAATGGGCTGTAAACAGTGAAACAAACTCAGTCTGCTTTGAGAAAAATACTGTGTGTTGTAAATACTGTAGACATTTTAGCATCACTAAAAGTGTTTGGTAAGAAAACCTTTGTAGTACTTATGCTGGTACGTGTTGTCATAGTGGACATGAGTAACTTTTACTCAAAGGGACACAGGCAATAATGCTTTTAGCTTGCAGCTCGATGATACTGAAGTTCAAGGAGACCTTTTCACTGATGAGTAGAACAGTGGGGATAAAAGATCTCGTAGGTCAGCGATACTGGAAAAAATACAGTCTAAGAGGACACAATGTCCTACAAAGAAGCCAAAAGAATCTGTAAAAAATTAAAAAATGAAGAAAATCATGACAGGTTATTGTAATGTTCGTTTACTTTAGGGTGGAACTGTCATCGGGAGTGCCCGCTGCAAAGATTTCCGTACCCATGAGGGCCGCCTGAAAGCTGCACACAACCTTGTGCAGCGTGACATCACCAACCTGTGTGTGATTGGTGGAGACGGAAGCTTGACTGGGGCCAACCTGTTCAGGGAGGAATGGAGCAGCCTGTTGGAGGAGCTCCTGCAGCAAGGTGACTCCTCACAACAGGAGGTTTTGTTTTTAACTTTAACACCAGGCTTCCCTGCTTTTACAAGTTTAAAGGGAAACTTTCTCCCTCCTTGTTTTTTGTTTAGGTTTGATCGATGAGGAAGCGACCCAGAGAAACTCCGAGCTCCACATCGTCGGTATGGTTGGCTCCATCGACAACGACTTCTGCGGCACTGACATGACCATTGGCACCGACTCGGCCCTGCATCGGATCATTGAGGTGGTGGACGCCATCATGACCACTGCCCAGAGGTGAACAATTTCTTTTTTATATGCTTCAGTGTAGGGTAAAGGTTGGAGTTCCCCCTCTACTGAACAAATTTAGATCAACCCACTGAGTTTCAGCATAAATGCTCTTCTTTGGTTTGTTTTTGACATTATTTCTGTTTTTTTTTTTTATAGCCACCAGAGGACGTTTGTCCTGGAGGTCATGGGGAGACACTGCGGGTAGGCATCTTTTATTCCACGCACACATATACATAATATTGCGTGACATCCACTTAGTCTTAGTGGCCACAAAATCATATGCTTGTAATCAAATTCTTTAGAAAGCATATTTAAGACTTTGAAAATATCGAATGATAAATGTGGAATGTTCAAATACCGACAAGTGAGTCAGACTCCAGCTAAAATGTCAAAGTAGTATTTTATGCAGATACATTGTATGTACCATGGTCCAGAAAATTTAGCATTGACAACAGGCGAAAAATTGACTCTGGTGGGAATCGAACCCACAACCTTTGAATTGCATCGCACGTGGTTGACTAGAAGTCCAATGGGCTGTCCATTATGCCACAGAGCCTGCTGTTTAGGCCTACTGATAAGGCTAGTGAGTGGAGTGCATTCTGGCTTTAGTGAGATTTCAGTGTAGCAAGAGACTAAATGAACTGTCTTTAGTGAGAGCTGAAATGTATGATTTTATAAATTGTGTATGTGTGCAGATATCTGGCCCTGGTCAGCGCCCTGGCATGTGGAGCAGACTGGGTTTTTATCCCAGAAATGCCTCCTGAAGATGGATGGGAAGACAACATGTGTCAGAAACTGTCCGAGGTGACAAACACACACATACACACACACTGTTTTCACTGTAGTAGCTTATGTTTTAATTAGAGTGGATAGTTTTCTGTCTTTGGCTAGGAGGACAGAAGTAATTTAGCTAAGCAAGTTTCTAATAAAGATTTACATGACAGAAAATATGTTAGAATAATTAAGCAAAAATCTTTATATTCTTGAAAATACAGTGTAAAAAGTGAGAACAGTAATCCCTGTCACAATAAAGAAACTTATAAATGACATATTGGAAGGTTACAGCTGTTAGAACTTAGTATAATGTGTAGAAGTGCTTGCTTTGATGTACGTCAGGACATCTGCACCCACAGAATTTTACCAGTTTCTCACAATGCTCTGAGGGGACCATTCTCCAGTTTTCATCCAGTCTTTGCCACAGAATTGTGACTTGTGTGTGGAAGCAGACATCTTTAAACTTCCCCAGATATCCACAGTAAAGCAGGAGTCCCTCAAATTCGACATTCACTATAAAATCGAACTCACATTTGAACTGTTTAACTATTAGTTGTGCCACAAGGGCTTCTATTTTTACACGTTTCAGCTTGACTCACATGCTGCCTTTTCATGGATTTAATTTTAAGCGTCTAAAGTAGAAAGTTTAATGTTTCCTTTGAGATTTTTTGTATACTGAGAATCTTTATAGTTTTCCCCTGTAATAAAGTGACTCTGTTGGCACTTGAACCCACAAGCTTTGAATTGCATCTGAAGAAAATCATTAGAAGTCTAATGCTCTATCCATTGCGCCACAAAGCCTGCTGAATGCTGGCTGTTGGGTCAGTAAGCAAACCTGCAAAACTCAACCCAGAATCTCCAAATCATTCGATTGTAATCTTAAACCTTCCTATAAGTAAACTTCAATTTAATTTCAAGCTGGAAATTAGAGTCCATAAAAGCAGTTATGACTGAAAACTAAATGGCAGAAGAATTGGAGAAAAACAGGCCCTTGAATGGCAGCCTCTGATGGGACTAAGACCTACAAACTTTGAATTAGAGCTCAACTGCCAACTGGCAACACATGAAAGACTACCATTAAAGTTCATTCTGTGTTTAGTGAACCTGAATAACTAACCAGTTTGGTGGTTACACAGTCCCAGTTGATCAAGATGCTTCGTGCTGGGATGACTAAAATCACACTGGCCAGTAGCTAAGATGTAGCAGCACTTGGTCTATAACAAAGGTTCTCCACACACTTTAATAAAGTGGCTCTGGTGGGATTTGAACCCACACACTTTGAATTGCATCTGACATGATCTAGCTAGAAATCCAATGCGCTATCCATTGTACCACAGAGTCTGCTTGAGTCACTGTTGCTTTCAGTTCAAGTCTGTTCATACATTAACAATAGTAGCTCAGGAAATTGGGTTTTGTAATGGCAGTTAGTTAAGAAAGTTATATGGTAGAGCCTGACTCTTGTGGCCGTCAACCCCACGAGCTTTCGATTACATCTTGACTCTTTGCCAGTCCAATATGGCCACCACATAAACACAAGACTATTCTAATGTTTATCACAGACCATTTGAAGACCTGAAGAACATTGTTTTGTTTTTTTATTTTCCAGTCAGTCTCATATGGTTAGTATTCTTGTTATTGTCCAGATTCGATCTCGAGGTTCCAGGTTGAACATTATCATAGTTGCTGAAGGCGCAACTGACCGACAAGGACAACACATTACCTCTGATTTTGTAAAGGATGTGAGTAGAGCTGTGTTTCAGACTGACACAGAGGGGAACCAGAAGCTGGACCAGCTGGTGGATATAAACATGAAAATGAAAAGCTACAGCAGAGCAACCTTTCTGTTTTGAATCCAAACATTTGCCACATGCCACATGCCACACACATAGGAAAGGTTTCATTGTGATATTATAGACATTCATGTTTCGGTGTCATGGTTTCTTTAGCTCAGTAGACACTGACATTGAATGACTCAAAACTCAAGAAGTTTATTGTCATTTCATATTGTGTTACCCAGCCTGAAACGAAATACTGTTTCTCACCAGCCTCTGCAGTGCAAAAAGCAATACAGTTTAAAAAGAATAAATACAGTTTAAAATGATCTGATGTCTTAAAAAGTTTTTAAATAAAAGGGAAATATGGTGTTATAAAGTGTACCCTGTAGTGCAGCTGATTGACTGTTGATGGCACTAAATGTATATTTCAGCCAAATTACAGCAAAGAGAAAGACTACCAAACAAAAAGAAATTCCTAAATTTAAAGTTTTCAACAAATTCAAAATTGTCTTTTAGAAATGTTTTATGAGAAAGGACCAAATATGTGAACACTGCATGTAAACTGAGCTGTAAATAAAATAAGGTTCTGCAGTCAACTTTAAACTAACCCTGCTGGCTAACAGCAATAGTATAAGTAAATTATTGATGTATCTCTACAGCACACTGCTTTTCATGACCAGTTAACTTCACATATGAAGCTTCTCCCAAATTGTGGCAAACGTCTGCTGATGAAGGGCAACCTGTTAAACATGGTGCTCTTTGGAAACGCAAAGGTCTCTCAGTAATTAGCGCTCAGACTTATCCTACGTTACTGGTTCCAGCTTTTGGCAATGCAAAACATTTTCTGTCATGTTTTAAACTGCCTTTGCTTGTTTATATCCCTCTAGAATCGTGCTGATAAGAAAAGGCTGAACATTATTATTGTAGCCGAGGGTGCCATAGATCGCCACAACAAATCAATAACCCCCGATTATATCAAGGATGTAAGTACGGTCACGAAGCCTGGCCGATACACGGAGCCACAAATTCTCCCTCAGAAGCATGGGCCACTGTCTTTCGTGGTTTGGATGTTGGTTTCCTTCACCATGGGAACACACCATTTCGTGTCCTGTATGCTGTTGTATTTCGTTCTTTTTTACACATTTCATTTGGCATGTTCATATATCCATTTATGAACCATTTATGGATGAGCTGTACGGTTCTCTTTGCACCCTGTATTTTGCTTTATGCCTGTTCACTTTGCATGTGTATTACATGACAGGAGATGTTTTGCATGATTTCTCCTTCTTATTTTTTTTCTTTTGGCATGTCTTTTCTTGTTATTGTATGTTCCTACCAATGTTCTTGTTTATTTTTAAGATGCTATATAATCCTGCTTTATATAATATTACATTGACACTACATATTTAGTAGAAATATGATCACATTCTTCAGAAATTTGGAATTTTTTAAAGTGAAATCCTAAATGTTTTTTATAGATATATTGTATTTAACTGGAATGGCATATATTTT